ACGTTGTCAAGGGGACTTTTGTTCGAGAATTCCCAAGCAGCTGCGTCGGCGAGTTCTTTCAATACGTGGTAGCGTGTGATTGTATGAGTTAGTTCCGAGTGTTCAGATGGATACTCTGCATAACACACATAGTCAAAGTTATTACTACGTGGTCACTGAGACCTAATGGACCATCCATCAATAACTTCTCAATCATGAGCTCTTCATTTGTGAGCACAAGGTCCAATATGGACGGTTTGTTTGCTGTCCTGAATCTAGTGGGCGTGGTGACATGATTGTACGAGGGAATATTAGCGATCAGTTCTTGCAAGTCTGCTTTGAACTGCTCACTGGGTGATGCCGAAACCTCCAGATTGTGTAGATTGAAGTCCCCGGAGATGAGAGTGTGGCTGTACCTAATGCGTGTTACTCTGTTTAGGCCACGGATCAAGCAGGAATCCATTTCCAGAGTGGACGTTGGGGGCGGTAAACGATAGCTATGAGACATGTATCGTTGTGTCTCAGTCGGAGACGGCAGCAGAGTGAGTCGGTAACGTGTGTTTCCAGATCATCCACTATTGTACATTGTAAATCGCTGCGGTAGTAGAGTAGGACCCCACCTCCTCTGCTGGGGCGGTCGTTCCGGATGAGTGACATTCCGGCTATCTCAACCTCAGCATCAGTCACCTCTTGATGCAACCAAGTTTCGGTAATAGAAATTAAGTCCCAAGCATTCGCAACCTGTCCTAGTCGAAGTTCGTTAATTTTACTGAGGAGCCCTTGGGCGTTGGTGTACATACATGAAAGTTTCTCAGATTTAATCAATGTTTTAGAAGTTGTACAACTCATACGTGAAGTTTCGCCGACCAGTGAGTGGCCGGCGACTGGAGGGGTGGATGAAGCAAATGAGTTTACGCCGACCATTAAAGGGTCGGCGACTAATCGTTTTTTGGATGGGTTGCATACTCTAGAGAAATATTTGATATATAAGCAGGTATCAGATGCTTCGAATCCTGGTGTTTGCTCGTGTTCTGCTGGGCCCCTCCGGATAGTATGGCTACTCTTGAAACCGTCCCCTAGTCGGGTCCTGAAGCTGGCGTTTTCACTAAGAGTTGTGCCTCTACTGAATTGTCATTAAAAGGTGTTGGTGTTCTTGCTGCTTTCAGACGAATTTCCGTTGGCAATCTGTAACGGATTTTAATCCAGTTCGTTAGTAGGGTTTGTGCCATTTGTTCTGACTGTAACACAAGTTTTAAGAGCCTGGGACCGCATCCTTTATAGTTTGGTGATATGGGGATCCTTGTCAACGAGGTGACCACCACATTTTCGAGAGAAAGAACCTCCCGGATGTAGTGCCATTGCTCGCGGTCATGCATCTGAGCATCGTCGGAAGAAGAGTCAGTAAGCTCAGGAACACCGTGAGCAATCACTGTTTTCTTAGCTTGACTTATTCTGTACCTATCTTTGTTGGCGGGATCCCCTGAACGTTCTTTCCACGGGATTTCGGGTAGTATGCGCACTCCACTTGAGTCGTTGCGGAGACGATTCGCGGACAGCAGAACGGCCTCAGTCTCGTCCGCCGAGTTAAGTGTTACCCGAAGTAACCGGGGTTCGTCGTAGCGCAACGCGTTTGGGTGGCGCGAGATTCTTTTTAATGTCGTGGGATTAGCATGGACTCCGATCGACGTACAGATGGAACCCCACTGATTTCGATCGTCCGTCAACTTACCTTTAAAGGCATTGGATTTGGATTCGGGGACATTAGTGCATACAATATTTAGGACACCATGGTTACGCCTGGTGGCTACTTGTTTTGGATTTCGAGGCTTAGTTTCTGGTGTTTTTGTTGAATTTGTGAACGGCCTTGGTGTGTGCCATCCGTGCTGCGGCAGTTTTGTTTTCTCTAGTTCGGGCACAAAGGTTACCGGTGCTCTTCCCGGTGTTTGCTTGGCAGCAATCGATGCGTACGTTGCCGGGTTGTTCACTATGGCTGGTTGACTGTAGCTTACAGTCTCGAGTGTAGTGAACCGACTACTAGGTGCAGCACACAGTACAGAAGTCGAGGCAGGCGCGCTGCAGGCACTGTTTTTACTTATGGAAGGGAGGGAGAATGGAGTTGATACTGCTGGAGGCTGAGTCGTTGGGGTTGGGTTGGGACGCCTGGCTCGCTTCTTCGGCCTGACTAGTGAGTTCGGGGTGTTATTTTCACTCACAAGTGCAGGTCCGTTTCCTCCCATGGGTGTAACTCTGGAGCTCACCAGTTGCTCGACCGCTTCGGTTAGTCTTTCACACCTCTGCAGTAGCACAGATAGACAGCTAACAAATGGAATAGACTTGCATACTTGGCAGAACCAAGGCGTCTCTGCGGTGTTTGCTTCCGTCGACTTCTTCCCAAGGCAGGTAGTGTGATAGGTTTTCAAGCACATGGTAGACACCAGACCATTTTTCACCACTTTGGCACATGATTCGCATTTGCTTTTCATACGAGACATGTTCTCAGTAGGGGTATGAAGTGGATGGAGATGCTGACGCACCGCTGCGTGGCGATCGGCGCTGGTTTGAGGTCAGCAGGTCCAGGCGATGTGAGTGCTATCGATCCAGACGGGTAGACAGCGATGCGAGACAAAGCGACTGAGGCAAAGCAAGGTGACTTGGAAAATGCTGTCTAGTGACGACAGTGGCAGTTCCAAATGCAGAGCAAATTGACGACTGTCGCTTTGTAGAGTGACTTGAAGGAATGGTATTAAGCTGATCGGGTGACTCTCAAAAAGATCTTTAAAATAAGACCACAAGAGTTCTTATGCGACGAAAAATAAAACATCCGATAAGCTTCAAATACGGTTGACTTCGAAGTTCCAAGAGCACAGTTTGTTGGTGATCCGTGAATGATAGATCCAATAGATGAACAGTGGTAGGAGGAGCTCGCGGAGCCAAATCGAATGATGGCACGTAGGTCTCTGTGAGAATAAATCCAAAGATTTGGAGGCGAATAACGCAGGAGGACAGTTTTTTTGTGACCGCACTGTCGGATGGATTCACTGTCTGAAGTATCAAACCTTATAGCAGCAGCTTAAGGCGCTTGTTGCACCAGCGCAACATCACTGTCACTCTGAAGAGTAGTCTACAATGCAGCCATCCGTTCAAATCCCCTGTGCTTTTGTGAAACCAGTCTCACCAAAGCGGCAAACGTAAATATTTGTTAATTTCGACAACCGGTGTTTTCGCAGTTTATACCATGTTTGGTTGTAAAACCGCTTGAGCAATGAAGGGATCCGCGGAAGTTATGGCGCTGGAATAGGAAGTGAACCACTCAGTGTCATTATTTAAAACACCAGGCTCAGATGGTTTGGTCATGTGTTACGCATGACAGAACACCAATTACCACGACGTGCGTGATATGTTAAGTCTGTAGTCTGGATGGAACAAAAAGAGGAAGGCCAAACGAGGGCTTGGTCGGGGGTAATGAAGTCCCTCACTTCGAAGCTGACGTCAGTTGCAGCGTCTGCTCACTGGTTGGGGTACGAAGGACAACCAACAAGTCTGGTTGGATACGCCATTTAACCACTGTGACATTTGTGTAGCGGTTCCCTCTGTTCCACCCTATCCAGATTAGTCCACTCCTCAAACAACGATTTCAGTGCCGATGCATCATAGTAAAAAAAACCTCGCATTATTCATTTCTAGCTTATGCGTGTTATTTTTTTCGAATATCTTACTGTGAGTACAATAGCTGGGGCGATCCTTGTCCCCCGATAAAGTGTAAAATGATTATGACGCTCATAGAGCATTGATTTCATCCACCAACCTGCCAGACCCTTAAGATATTGTTTAATGGCTAATGTAACGTTTGCCCTTAGACATTTTAAAACCTGTAGCTGTTGGACAACAGAAGTTCAGTTTTCTGATTGTTTCATAATGCCGCTCAGTTTCCTTTGACACGCTCGCTAATGCTTGACAAGTCACAGGACCCATCCATGGGTGTGAGCATGTTGAGCTGAGCGATTCATTAGATTTATTCGGTTATACAACAATTGATATGGTATAACTTATGAAATGTGCCCGACCAGTGCATACACTCGAGCAGTCTAACATCAGAGTGCAGACGGATAATTCCACCTTTCAGTAGCAACAATCAATCATTTTGTGTGAGTTTGAATGACCTACCAGAAAATTAATCAGCTAAATCAGTCGTGCTCGAGTGATCAAAGAGAAGTAAAATATAGATAACTCATATGATAATCACAAGTATTCAATCAAAAAGCAATTAAAAAGCATCGTAGCTCTAAAGGTGGGTAGGAGTATCGAATTATCCTTCGAGCACAGGTTGTCCGTAGGTGAGGGTATGCGGGTGTTCTCCGAGCTGGTCGATTTGGTTGCAGACGTTTCATCGTCAGGCTAGACGACATCATCCGTGCGATTTATGCGAGCCACTTGCAGATCCAAGTGATAATTGTTCACTTGATTCGAACGTCAAGAGTCTATTGGTCCACGTGAGCTGACCGTGTATTCAAACCTTGCGTATTGTTAGCTAGAGTCCGCCTCAATGATGTTCCTTTGTCTCTTTGATCTGGGGCGGAGTATTGTTTTAACACTCAGTGCTTCATAGGCAGTATCAAGATCTAAGTGTTGGTTGATTGAGTTCTTTCCCGAGTACCAAGCCTCGATAAACTCGCGTGCTTTTCGAGTTTTTGCCTTGCCTATGATCCTGACATTCTCCAAATCAAACTGATGATTCTCGGCGTCCATATGTACCGATATCAGGGATTAATTTTTCGACTATCACCGCGAATGCCCAAGGACTTCCGGTTGAACTGAAACCATGATAATAAGTTGTCTACTAACGAAATGACCACAGGCGAACCGCTGCGTTCAGGGAATAATAATTCTGACTGCATTCCATCTGGGTGTGCTCATGTGGTTCAGTTAGTTTAGTTAGTACTGGTTTCACTAATTTCTTTTATTGTTTTCGATATATGCCAAGACCACCGTGTTCGTGACGCAAATTGTTTCAATGATTGTAGAAAGATTTTAAAGGAAATCGAGCGTCTACGCGAAGAGCAACAGAAGCAAGCTGCTGTCATCGCCGCGGCCGCAGTATCAAAACCGGATTTGCTACTAGATGGCGACGGTAATGTCGGGGGCACCATAAGTCCAGTTACCTTTGCACAGTTGAACAAAACTGATCAGGCTGATTCACAGGACAAAAGTGAGAAACCAAAGCTCATTTCCGAGCTAAACGTGTTGCGCCAAAGGAAGGATGAACTCGAAGCACGTATGAACAATCTACAAGTGAGTTATAGCCAAAGATTAAGCAAGAAGCTTATGTTTGTTTCTTCCGAAGAGCTTTCAAGTGTCTTCTTCTTTCATAGCGCAACCGTACGGAATTGATGCTCCAGCTTGAGACACTAGTACGTCTTCTTTCACTGAGTGGGGCCACGGTACAGCAAAGAGATGCGTGCGGAGTTTACCAGACTGATCCAATCTCCCGAGATGTCCATCCGGCCAGCCAGTTTCCTAGCACACCTATAGGCACCGCACGATTTGGGCATCAAACGCGTGCTGGTATGCGACCTCCAGAAAATCCGCCTCGTAGGAGTTCAAGCCTATGCCACACCAGTGAAGATCGCGTGCTCAAAGAGGATCGTCAACAAGAGGTGAAGTCTACGGTTTGTGTGCTTTTAGTCGACGTGAAACTAGAACTGGTCAATGCAAATTGCTGATGAAATCAGACCCTATGTGTACCTCACCAAAATTCAGCCGTCTCATTGCACTACTGTTATTATGGTCTAGTCGCAATGGTCCCCGCGAATTCTACCCCCGAGGCAAACGTCACGATCTTCGTGAAACCGTTTCTTACGCGCGCGCGGTTCGAACGCCCACCACTGAAACACACTAGCATTATCTTCTCTGCAGGCGGAATAAGGTGTAAACATGACGCTTCGACCTAGTACTCACAAAACCAAACCGCTTATTTCACCAAGGTTTATGAAAAATGCAAGGTTTCAATAACCTTTTATAGGTTGCTAAATCTTAAATGCTTATATTCTTCCTGATTCCACATAGTTTTGTTATGACTGACACTTGTTCCACCTGATCGCACTGATTTACCCGAAACTAAGAGAGTAAAAGAGGATTGGTCTTAGGAAGAGTGCTTTTACGACCCGAGCAAAGTCCAGCACAAAAGTTCCACAGCCTCGATTTGATGCCGAGACTAGCAAATTAGTAAAGCCTCTGCAGTCACACAGGAGGAAGCGTGGGCGTAGTAACACTTGTAGGCTTACATAATGGGCGAAAAATAACCTGGGGCGTGGTGTATTATGCGGGTTTAGATGAAAGCTCGCGATAAGCGGAGACGTGGCAAGATATGTAAGTTCACATGGGCGTGAGTGTTTGTGCAAAAAACTGGATATGCGGAGGAGTTGCTTAACTGAACAGGGTTTATGCGATCTAGTGGCAGGTGTATTTACCATAGCAACCAAGATCGTCCAAAGTATGACTAGGCTAACTGTAGGAGTATGAGGGATGGATCAAAGACTTTTATACAATTACTAATGAGTTGGAGGATATTGATAAAGAATTTCTGGTTCATCCCAGTGGCTCCTAGGCCAGCTTAGTCCAACTCCAACCTAGAAACGTACCAGCGACCGTTTCGCCCCATTGCGGCTCGTCATTGGTATGCATTCCCTCGGTTCCCTACTGGGGATCGAACTTATGTCTTCTGGTAGCTTGCGCCAATCAGCCAGCAGCTTATGCCACTGAGGGGAGGCACACCGTCTTGAAAGCTAATTGGGAGGTCACGTATCCTATCCTCCGGGGTGAACTAATAAACATTCATCAACTTCCTCCCACTCATCAATAACCCAAAAATTCGTCCTCACAGTTTTAAATGCTATGCAGACATACCTACTCTGTAGTGGAACTCCAACCACTGTTCTCTGCAATGGCAGGAACCTGTATGGCAGTGGAGGATAGGTTGCGCTATATTTCAGTTGGCTTGCGTGTTCAGATGGTTTGCCTCCGTCTCCCATGGCTCAGGGCATGAGCTACTGCATAGTGGACGTAAGCTACTAGCGGTCATGGGTTCGATCCCCAAAAGAGCACCGAAGAAATCCGCACGACTGACTAGCCCCAATAGGGGAAAACGATGGTCTGATGCTCCTCCAACTTGGGATTTGGGAAATTTGGTTTGTGAGTAGCTGGGATAAACCAATGGAGTGTTTATACTATTATCTGTTGAACTGTAAAGTCCGAACCATTGAAATTGGAACGCATTTGAAACAGTTGAAGAAGTAGCAACTTTCGTTCCATACAAAACTGACGCCGCTAAACTCTTGCCATCGCGCAATATAGCTGACGTTACATGATTGCATCAACTAAAATTCAGAGAGGAATTCCAGACTGCTGTGAGCAGCTTTGCTAGCAAACATTGTGCCCTTAGCACCGAAGCACCCTATGGGAATCCACGACGCAATAAGTTTGATTTCTTGAAGTACCAACCAAGGAAGGGAATCGGTTGTGGAAGTAGGCGTTTACATCTGACAACGGTAAAGGCTGTACCCGCTTCAGATAAGATCCCAGTGTCCAACAACACTGAGGATCACTTCAAAGTCAACATTAACGTAGATCCAAACACACAGCGATATTCCGAAACACAGGAACTACTACTCTGTTCCTGTTGGACGTCGGAATCATTGTAACGAAAGGGTAGGTTTTCTGGCTGTAAGCTGACTGCAACGAATTATCTAGTAGTTTAAAAGCAGTGGTTATATACGTTCTATTGAAAACCACACTGTATTAGAGAAGTACCATCAAATGTACATCGGTCAGTCGGTGCCCCGTTGTTTAAAAGTGTGTTAGAACATGATCAGTTGCGGTGCTGCTCTCTCCCAACACTGTACTCCACAACCGACCGGTTTCGTCCTGCTTTGGACTCGTCAAGTAGTGATAACTGGAGATGTGAGGGAAGTCAATCACAACGTTTGACGGTTTTCGTCACAGTCACCAGGCCAGACACCTGACAGGAACTCCAAGACCCAATAATGATTTTCTACTCGCTGTATCAGTCCCTGCCGTAGAGCTCTTGCGTGTTGACCATGACGAAAACAGTCAAGTACTGTGTTGGGGTCACCTCTTAGCTCAAGCTATCTCTACCTGACGAGTCCACAGCAGGACCAAAGCGGTCAGTCGTGGAGTGCAGTGTGAGGACGGAGCAGCTCCAAAACTCACCACTTCGGATACAGTCCCAGTGATCGAAATGGCATGTTTGCTACAATATAAACTGCAGCCTCAACCAGCATTGTGTCTCGCTATCCAGACACACGGCGAATACTCAAAAACTTAATAATGTGATAAAGCATCTTATGCAACTTGGTGAAGTGTTGAATTTTAAAAGTTTTCTCCGAATAGCTATTTCATTGTACTGCAACTGCTTGTTCAACCTTGAAAAAATCGAATAAGTCTGGGCCTCCGCTTAGCTGTGCTTTTCGAATGCCAGTTAACCGACTATCTCCATAGTACCGGTTGAGTACGAGGTGACATCGTAGAAATGTGTGCGGAAACTGACCGAGTAGCTTGATCGCGCTGGTTTCTTAATGGGCATTAAAATGGTCATTAAAATATTTTGCTACGGTATCCCACATGGCGAAGTCAACGGCGGCCATGAATTCAGCTGTCTACACCTTGCTATTAACCTTCGTACCAAATAAATATACGCCCCCGCTTTCCGCATCATGTTCTATTATGCTATGTCTTTCAATTGAACCCAAAGTATTATGCTATGGTTTCACGAGGCAGTCCAACTGCAGCCACTGGGTTCTAAGGCCGGATTCTGATTGGACCATTGGACTGATTTGAACTGTTCCACATAGACCTCTTTGATAGCGACTGAGACTCAAATAGCTGTAACAGCGATGTAGCTTACATCAGACGCGGAGACTAGACACAGCCTCACAGCAGAATGTATCAGAATATGGGTGACTAGTTTCGTTGCATGTCACTAAATTAAGTATACGAAGACAGAGGGAAAACATTTTGTCCAACACAAACGGAGTTAGTGTGGCACATAAAAATATACGGTGTATCAGTAAAGCCTATGAATGCATGCGAGTAAGTTCAAATCTTTCCGGTGTTTGTACTGACAATTAAACTGCATCAGTCAATGGGGGGTCTAGAGTTCGTAGCATATGCTCTAAAGACGGTTGATTACATTAATAATGAACACATTGCCAGCGATCACCCGATGTTTTTAACATGATTGCTGTCTACTGCATCGCATATCCTTCTTCCATTCTTGTAATAGCTGAGAGATTCCGTCAGGATGGCCTCCGGTGTTGCGAGTGAAGTCAGTTGGGATCAAGCACAATTTGGTGACAAGTTTATGAGGGAGAACTTACTGTCTCCAATCAGCGACCTGATTGCCGAACCGCACCTTAGCCGAACACCGGCAGGGTAAGCTATTAGTATTCGGTAATCCTGTGGTCAATAATAGTTTAACCCATACACCGTTTGCTGGTTTTGGCACATCACAAACGACTGGTTTGGAGCGGAGATAGTGCTGCTTTAAGTGACATTCTCACGCATGACGTAATTTCAACCTGGGGATCAATGCACTACCGGAAGAGTTTCTCGGCGTGTACACTCACCATCGATTTCATGTTGTAAGGACTCAGGAACGCCGTTAATGTGGTTCAGTAAATACCGAACCATTGTCTACACAGGTTGAGGACAGTTAAAAACTCGTTGATTCATATTAATCACTAATCGGTAAAGCACACAAACGCAGCAGATTAAGAGTACATGACACAAGGCGAGTATTGGAAAAAAAGTACAAAGCTAGGTGAGAACGATGGTGTTCGATGGCGCCAGACTAGGTGAATGGATCACATACATATACGCCTTCCGAATCTACTTGCACTTATATAAGGTTTCAATTTTTAAACCGTATTAGTATAGAAGAGTTAGCTAAGCCGATCGCAAGTAGGACTCAATTCACACTACCTTTATGGACACAGTAAAAGCACCGGCCATGCAAAGGCAGCATCTTCCACAATGCACTGCCAGAGGTTACCTCTCACTGTTTGGGTAATTTAAAAGATTTCCTTTGTTTGATGCTTATGTTTTCTATTGAGCTCATGAGACAAACATAAAGACCCCTAAACGGTGATGCGCAACTGGCATCTCATTCCAAAAGTTAGCTCATACTTTATGAAGGTCGTCTTCGTTTCACTCGATTAGTTTGCGAACACAAAGTTCCAATCAAGTGGTTTCACTAGTTCGCACTAGCTGGTGATTCAAGATTCACTGTCACCAGAAGCTGTGTCCGATAAATTTCCGAGAGAAAACACCATCACTGATAAAACTTGGTTGTCAAATATGTCTCCGCTTGACGCGCGTTAGCTGGCGTAAAAACAAGATCAAAGCGAAGCATTCCAACACCAGTAACAATTACAAATGACAAACAGTTGAACCAAACTGTCGTGAGATTTAATTCATCTGCCATTACAGGTTTGGTGCTCCTATTTAGTCAGCGTCGGCGTGTGATGTGCGCACGGACTTCACTTGCACGCAGTCACATGAGCGAATTTAAAAATTGCTTTGCATACTTTTCACAGGCTGATAAAATATCTGAACGTCTATCATATGCTACTTTGGACACGAAGGCAGGTGGTACTGAGGATGCTAGAAAAAGTAACATGTAACGACATGCCAGCTTGGCCGATCCAATATGGACCTTAATTCCATATTGTAGTAATTTATCTCAGCTGACTACCATGATAAGTGTTAAAATGCGGTAACCAGACGCAAAAGCTGCACCCCAATAGCCATCATGACGAATGTTGAAGATGCCCATGAAGCTCCACACAAGAAGCGTGACTCCAGCAATGTGTTAGAACTCGGTGTAAAGATAATGAAGACAAATTTTATATAAAACCACACAATGGAGCTAGTCGGTTAATTTTTAGGCTGTTTTTCCTTGAAAAATTTGAACCTCCCTTTTCGAAGGCCACTCGTTTCATGTTTTAGAACTCAACTCTCTCGTGGAGACGAAGCCAGTAGGTTGAGAGGATTCCTTGACAAACACGAACGTCCTGTTTTGAATCCAGAGCGAACAGGTTACACGTCTTTTAGTTCCACCTCAGTCGGAACCGCTGGACGCACCAGTACATACTATGGGGTGAGTGAGTTGTTATACAACACTGTCACTAAAAACTTGCTCAGTGGTCTTTTCTTTTTATGCTGACTGTTGCTTGCGTGCGATCACGAGTGCCGAACGGTGCGCTCATAGTATCATCTGGTACTACGCATCAATGGGCGAACGCTTTAAACCCCATCAAAGGCCCTGTAAAATCTTCCCGAGGCAGTTATTAGCATTCCACCCGGTGGCTCCGTCTGTTCCACTCGCTTGGCCGATCGGCCATCAAAGCATCGTGCGTTGTCCGCTCGGTGTCGCTTGAGTAGGAACACGGTAAATTAATTCCCCATTGTCCATCCGACTTGTGTACTCGCGGTCAACTTGCGCTGCCAGCGCTGATTGGCTTTCCAGTTCACAGGCCATGCGTCGGTTTCGCTCACGTGACCTGTGAGCTGCCATCACAGAAAGTAAAAACAAAACGATTAAATGAAATGCTGCGCCGCGCAGAAAAGTTAAACTGGAGTATTTGACAGATGTTTCAGTCAAATCATGCTCCAGGTATGTTCCACTCAAAAAGTACTTCTTATTCTTTAGATGTCCAACGCCCAAAACAAAAAGAGCCCCATAGTGAGATCCGTCTGTCCGTCCGACAGGATCTACTCTACCAGCTTGACAGATAGCGGATCGGACGTGTATCTGTATTCAGATCCAGAATTTGGCACTTCTAGTGGATTTACTTCTCTTGCTCGGCGCGATATCAACAACCAGACACGGATGCAGAAGAGGCTAAGTGCACAACTACACTCCCATTCAAATGGGCAGGCTCCGACATCTTTTACGGACAATTATGAATATCCTGCGCACATCAATCCAAGTGAAGCGACCGATCATCTGGAGGATGGTAGCGTGGGCCAATCAGCCAGCGTGAATAACTGAAGATTACCACAAGTGAGTCATCGCATTTTACTAGAAGACAATGATGTATTTTCGGTGGAGCACTTGGTTGCTAAGCGCTGATTAGTTGTGTGGGACAGATTAGTGCCAGATGTCGCCAGGAGTACATTGAAAGAAAGTGGAAACTTTACCAGTTATCTAACGGAGTTCGGACACATAAATCAAATATAGCAAGGGCGTGATATCCTAAACAACAATCTACGTTAAGTGCACACACACACGGTTATAATCAAGGCACCGTAATGAAACAACTTTGTCTCAATGCCGGACTTCATATTTGTAGATGCAACTGTTATCTCACTCCGTATGAAGAAAGCACATAGCAGTAAGAAGATGATTTGTGATCCATTTGGATCCACTAATGTCTGCCGCAAGCAGCTTGAGATTACAAGAACTGTCAGGAAATAGTCAAGAATCTGGATAGCTTTTAGTGCTGGAATAAGTTAAGTAAGACTAAGAGACGGGAACAAGCTAATATTGTGGTGAGGGGTGCAGTCAATGGAAGCAAGTAAAAATGTAGGCTTAGTTAAAAAGAACATAATAGGAGCAGAAAACCGTGACATGTCTGGTCTCAAAAAAGCCCTCATTTCATGAAATTGCACGGGCAACTAGTAAATCCATGTTACGCTTGCAGAATAACTGATGGCTGCGTCACTTGCCACTACTGGCGAGCAACCGAAGCGTTCTACACCCGTAAGTTCACAAATAAAATCCATAAATAGGATTAGGGCCCTGAAGTGGCGTGCCGCATGCGTATAGCCGTGATCCTGAACGAACTTGCCCATCAAATGCACTGACTTAAGCTTTCGAATTGGTTTGAACGACATTAGGAGAAGAGTTCAGTCAAAAACATAGTCGACTGGTACTTAGGTCCAACATGAACTATAACCGACCTTTGAAATGCCATGCTCTTCAGTTGCCTGCAAAGTGAAGTTATCCATAATGCCAAACCGTTTAGGGCCCCAACAAAAACAAAGACAATTAGGCCAGTACTTTCTCATTTTCCGCGCATTTATAGACTGGTAAACTGTCCAAAAAATGCGCTACTTCCGTTACACAATATGGTTGGTGGCATCTGATTCCGGATTTACCTGTCACTGTGGCCAGCCACAGGACGCCTACGCCTACAGAGGGACCATGGGTGGCTTGCGCTGACTTATAAAGCCCCGGCCCTGATGATCTTCCTCCAACTTTCTTTAAAGATGGTGTCGCTTCGCTGGTTCGAGAGCTCACCACTTTGTTCTCGAAAATTTGGTCGAAAGAGAAAGTTCCATCTTCTCGGTGTGAATCGATAGTCGCCCCCATCCTCAAAAAGGGCCTGCGAACAATCTGTTCCAATTACAGAGGCATAAGCCTAGTCCCCGTCGTTTGCAAGCTGCTGGTGTCCATCATATTTTGCAGTCTAGCCCCAACGCGCGAATCGTTGCAACGAGAAGAACAAGCTGGGTTTCACCCTGGTCACGGCTGCATCGATCAAATCTTCGCACTCCGCCAGGTCCTCGAGCTCCACCATGTGTATCAGAGGCCAACGATTGCTGTGTTCCTGGATATCCGTGCAGTCTTCGATTCTGTCGACCGTACGGTATTGTGGCACTGTCTACTGAGTAATGGTATCCCCGAGAAGTTCGGCTCCATACTGCACACTCTCCAAAGTCTGACGTCGAGCAGGGTTAGGGCTTATGGCAAGCTTTCGCTTACCTTTGTGGTCTCCAGTGGAGTTCGACAAGGATGCCCTATCTCTCCATTCCTATTCAACTTTGCCATTGAGGATGTCCTGAAGAACGCTCTAGGGCGATTCGTTGAGAGCTGGCGTTGAGCTTCTCCCAGGCAGTCGAGTTGATGTGTTGGATTGTGCCGATGATATCGTCTTGCTGGGTGGCGATTCACAGGTCGTCAAACTTGCACCAAACCGCTTGAAGTTTAATGTATCAAAGTATTGTTTGAACTTTTCGCCATCCAAATGCAAGGCCTTCTTCCAAGACTGGCAGGTGCCTCTGCCTGCAATCACTCTTGGTGGTGAGACACTAGTGGTTGTGGAGAGCTTTGTCTACTTGGGAAGTTGCAGCACTGCTGGCGGGGCTCTTGAAGACGAGATTTCGATGCGCATCTCGAGAGCATGCCTCGCTTTTTCTAGGTCGCGGCACTTGTGGCCTCGCCACGACATTCGTCTCTCCATCAAAGGGCGGGTCTATGGTACAACTGTTCGTGCTTTACTGTTGTACGGTTGCGAGACCTGGCCCATTCGTAAAGATGACTTCCGCAGGCTATCCGTCTTCGAGCATCGCTGTCTGCGGTCAATTGCCCGTGCGTGGTGGCAGCACCACGTAAGCAATGTGAAAGTTAGACAGCGTGTCTTGGGACGTGGAACCCCCTCGCTCGAAGAACTCGTTTCACTGCATCAACTGCGGTGATTGGGACCCGTATTGCGCATGCCTGTCCAACGTTACCTGCGTGATGCGTTGTTTGCGGTTGCTGAACCGGGCTGGAAGAGACGGTCTGGTGGATAGTCTACAAAATGGAGAAGCTGCATGAAAAGCTGACGAAAGCGTTGGCCACTTCCGGTAGTTGTCGACTACCTGGTTGCGGTCTGAGAGATGCGGATACTTGCTGGTTGAAGACCTTAGAAGTCATGGCTTAAAATCGATGTAAATGGCGGACGTGTGCATCGGTGTGTTGCGGTGCCCCGTCTTCTGCTAACTAAAGAAGAACAAACTGAAAAGCATTTCCAAGACTGCGAGTGGCAAACTAGACAAAAAAGCTTGTTGTTGTTATTTTCTTATTCTTTATACTGTTTTCCTGTTCAGCCGTAATACGATGGTACGATATCAGTAACATTATATATATATATATATATATATATATATATATACTGTAAACCCGAAGGAGTAAGACCGGGAGGCATGTGGATAGGAGCCACGTTTCATCAATAGAGCCGGCCCACACTCCTTCACAGGCAAACACAAGCATGCTGTATTTGGTGAATCATGCGCACACAAGACGGGGGCTGGATCGTAGTCCGCTCCACACTGAGTGCATGGAACCACTCTTCGAGCCTAGCACGACCACAAGGACCGTGCACCCCGTCCCCTCCAGCAACGACCAACCGTCTCCTGGAACCAGTATGGACGAGGTAGTGGGTAATAGACAGGTAGGCACCTTGTCAACATGCACATCAAGCGCAGCCATATCGGGGATATCAAGCAACAGCCAATCACTTGAAACGACAAGACGAAATAAAATAAATCCAATAATGCATACAGATACCGTGGCATAACTCTTCGCTAAATTAGCATATGAAGTAAGTTGGTTAGCAACGAATCCGTAGCTCTATATATGTGAAGCAGTACGAGGAACAACAGGTTGTAAGAGCTGACTGAGTTTCAGCCTATCGCTAATTTTGTTACAATATTTTCTTTACCCAGGAAACATGCGCCGGCGCCGTTATGGGACTACCCACGAATCGTCAGCAGACCAATCCTTGATGTGACAATCGTGGCACTCAAACGTAACCTATGCCCGAGTCTATCTTCATAACCTTTTATCAGTTTACTCAGTGCAGTTAACGGTTTAAGTAATCGGTATTTTTAACGGCATTTGGACAATGAAATTCAACGACATTGAGCTGCTGTCACATAGGGAGATTTCATTTATCTGCTTTGTTATTTTCACTTTGACTATCTATTTGTATCTTGCCTCGAGTACCTCAAACACACTTCCCTCCCCTGACAGCGATGTGTCAAGTCGCTGTGAGACAAATTATTTTTACAAACCTTAGTCACATCTAATCTTTAGCCACAATACTTCAGCTCCCAGACCAAAACATTTTTTCACTATGAATCTCACATAAACATAATTTATGTTAGGAACACGTGGCTCACGATTACTTCTGACCTTAAATACTACGGAATTGATCCCATCAGCACATATGCCCCACAACAAACATTCGTCTCAAGATCGACAGCATAGTGAGAACTAACGCGTTTTCTTGATGCAGTCTAGTGAATCAGAAAGATGCTTCATCATGACAATTATTATTTCACAAACAATGCAATTTATTTCAAATCGAAGACTTTTGTACAGATTTACAAAACCAAAAGATGATCTTGGTGCAAAGCATCGTTCGGATAAAATGCATTACTAATGTGTGAACCGATTTGGTCAAAGCATTGAGGGGGAATATGGTATGGCATGAATATCGGTTATGGTTAACATATCTCTGATACATCTATATTTTAGCTTGGCAATTAGCCCACGCATTAAACAACAGCGAGGTGGAAGTCGTTACCAATTCGTAGTAAACCGCCATGCTTGCAAGTGAAGCACAACTATCAGAGCTCTGGTGCAATTAGAGCGACAGAAGTAATGAAATAACAGCTCCCAATGGCTGATGAACAGGAGATGTTTTCGCCAATAAATTGGAGTGGAATTCACTCGAAGCCAATGAGCAATCGTTCTCCCATAGTTGCTTTTTATGAACGTTCTCACTTTCACACCAAGTTATCGCGCTGGAATCACATATCGAGAACATCGGTAGAATTGATCCAATTCGCAAATCACGAATGTAAATAAATTATTTGGTTATCAATTCAGCACTAATTTGGAAACGAGATATATGCCTTAGTAGCGTAAACTAGTTACTTGGGTGGCGCTGTGTGAGTGAAAGGCTTAAGGGCTGAGGTTGGCCAAGAAACGGTATACTTCTAAAAGGGGTACAAATGTTGATGAGTGATTCGGTTTGCCACGCTCGGTCCGCGTAGATGTTTCAGCGCATCTAATTAGTATAAAAATAACTCTAATGTTGTCGTCTTGAGGCAAAATAGATGTTTTTCGGGACGGGTGTATTTGTGGTTCATTAACGATATATTATGTCCATGGATTCTAATATTGGGAAAGTCCTTCTCAGGTTTCGGCTTCATTCTTACTGATTTTCTATGTTAGGATTCAGCGGGGATCCTCTGGAGACCATGCTCCAACTTAGTTCAGATGCAAAGGGC